TTATTACAAGTTTCTCATCATTCTGTTTTGATATTAAGAACGCTTGCTCTCATCTCCAGAATCTAACAGTCTCTTGTTAATCTGATTTATAGTTTGGGAAAACAAACTATAATTCTGAACGGTAATTTGTTTCAACAACTACAATTAAGATGAACCACTGGACTGATATCATTTAAACTGTAATTAACACAAAGATCCTGAAGCCCTGATCCTATATTTATATCCATGCTATAGGATAAGTGAAAAAAGGCCCTTGTGAGCAGAGAATGACAGCATTTCATCTGTGTAAATTATATAAAATATGAGTAACTTCTCTGTTGCCAGACAATCGCTTTCAACAACATACTACTCAACATGAAACTTGAATATATGGCTGGGGGAAAACGTCACTATTATTTTTTCTCATCTATACCACAATAAAATCAGAAAGTCAAATGGATTACCCTAGATCTTTCTAATCTTTCTGTAAATATGTTTTAGCTACAGTTAACTTAACCCAATTTTCTATATTTGCATAAAGAAAAACTAGCATTCAAGGCTGGGTCTATGCAGTACATTAAGTTACACAGTGGTTGGTTAATTTGTGGTTCAGTGTGACAAAAGAACCATTCTGTGTTTGTCTACTATCAGGTTCTCTCAAGTCTATGGATTAGAGAGCCATGGTGGTGCAGACATTAGAATGTAGTATTGCAGACCAATTCTGCCGACTGCTAGCAGTTCAATTCTGACTGGCTCAAAGTTGACTCAGCCTTCCGAGGTTGGTAAAATGAAGATCCAGATTGTTGGGGGAAATATGCTGACATTATAAACCACTTAGAGAGAGCTGTAAAGCACTATGGAGAAGTATATAAGTAAGTGCTATTGCTATTAACTTTGGGGAAACCAATCATTATTATGGCTATAGCAATAGCAAATGCTAAAAGAACACTCTCAATTCTGCACAATTAAAGCCATCTCCATATTTAAATTTCAGTGTGAGCATATACTGATAGAGAGAGGCATTCTGGTTATGTAACATCCCTAGGTCCTCTTTTTTTTTTAATAAGGAAAATGATGGTCCTTGTTTGTTACCCTTTAATGTAGTGCTTTGCATTAATTGGGTGTTTTTTCTTCAGGTAATGAGTTCATGTGTCGTTAGCTATCACAACAAGGACACTTAACCAGATTTAAAGTGTTTTACCTACATTGAGTAAAAAGGACTTTCTGACAAGTATGTTTGGGTATTGAAAGAAGACATTTGGGAAGCATTGCTTTAATGCAGGGTGAATACCCACTGCTTGACCAGAAGCTAAAGGAAATTACACTGGGACATTGAAACAGTGAATGCTGAGTTTTTTAAAAATTAATCCAGTGAAAGTAGTAGTTTGATAAATGAAGGGCCATAACTCATTCATAAGATACATGCTGTACGAGTTGATTGATATTTCTGGATACTGCTGAAAAAAGATGCCTGTCCAAAATCCTGGAGCCAGTAAACCATCCATGAAACACAATGAAAGCTGCAATCCAATCCTCAAATATTTGAGGTTGTACATCATCATCACAGCATGAATAAGGCTGACATCAAATTATTGTTTAGAGGGGTGTTTAGCTTTAAAGCTTTCTTGTTCCTCATTTCTGCTCAAACAGGTTATCTGCAATAAAAGTTTCTCTTTTAACTCAACTACTTTATTTATTCAGTAAAAATGAAAATGCTACCCAGTATTTGGACAGTGTTGTCATCTTCTCAAAAGAGATTACAACAAATATAAGCAATTCAAGACCATCAAACTGATCCTTGCCATAACTGAGTTAGTGCATTCTATCCAAGCTTAAGTTGGAAGAACACTATACAGGTATGCTATTTGCTTTCCTCATTGCAAATTCCTGCTCTAGCTCTACTCCCTCTTTTTCCCTGTCATGATTAAACCTGACTTACCTCCAAGATCATGGGTAAAAAGGCTTAACAGATTTGATATACCTCAAAGCTATCTCTGGCCTTTGTTGAGTAAAGGGAAAATGTTATTTTAATAATAGATACAACTAAGGCATGCTTGTACCTGCCTCCTGCTTAGGCTGGGGCCAAGATAAAAGCAACATCACGAGGAAGCAATATCATGAGGATGTGGAAACAGTTGTAGACAGGCCATGATTGTGCTGTAATTGACTGCAAATGGGAAGACTGGAGGGCTTTATGACCTCCAGTCACTCATCCATCACTATAATAGTAATAGAGGCCTTCTGGTAGCTAAATAATGGTTGTGTGGCACTAGAAGACAGAAATAAGCAATTGAAAGATCAACAATGGGCCAGTAAATTTCATATCAGTGTAGTTTGTCAATTATAGGTAGAAAGCACTTCAAAGCATTGGATTTAGTGCCTTTAAATGAATTTGTAACAAACCACAGAAGGCTCCTTCTGATCACAAGTTCAGTGTCATCCCAGAACTATGGTAAACTCAAGAAGCAACTCAAAACAATCAAGAAACATGGGAGGGGAACGGAGGGGAGAGAGAGAATGAGAGAGACTGGTAACTGGTATAAGCAAAAAAACTATTTTCTGCTCAAAGTAGCATGGATGTTATCCAATTTGGCTAAAGTGGACAACAGAATCCAATTGATCCCACCCCTTAAGGATTGATCACCTGGCTGTAACTTCAACCAAGCAAGATCCAACGTGTATCAGAGTGTGCATGCAGGAACACTGTTGTGACTTGTGATCTGTTTTATAGTGGAAAGCACTGGCAGGGGAACTAAAGACTACTTAAAGTGCTCAGATACAGAATAGGGATGAAATGAAAGCAACTGGGAAAGCTGGGTTGGTGGGTGGGTGGGTGGGTGGGGTTTCCTGAAAGAAGGTGCAGGGGAGGAAAGGCCCATAATTTCTAATAGGGAAAGCATTCATCTTCCTCCCCTCCCCTTGGGCAATTCTAACCTATTGGTTCCTAATTGTTAAAGAGTTAAACTCATTTGAGTGATTACAATAAATCCCATGTCCTGATTTGAACCTAGTAACCGTCAACATACTGAATTTGGCACTAACTTGCAAAACAAAAGCAGGAATTGTATGCCCAGCCATAAACTCATTAATTGATCTAGTGGTTAAGGTGTTGGCCTAGAAACAGATGAAAGTGAATTTTAGGTCCGCCTTAGCCATGAAAGCCAACTGTGTGGTTTTGGGCCAGTCACTTGGTCTCAGCCCAACTCACCTCACAAGATTGTTGTTGTGGAGAAAATAGGGGGAGGAAGGAGTAATAGGTATCTTCGCCACCTTGTGTTATTTATAAAAATATAAATACGTATAACTAATCCATACATAGGTAGTCCCTGACTTGCAACCTTTCATTTAGTGACCATTCGAAGTGACAATGGCACTGAAAAAAGTGACTTATTACTATTTCTCACACCTACGACTGTATCATCCCTGTGGTCAGATAATCAAAATTCAGATGCTTGGCAACTGGCATGAATTTATGATGGGGGTCATGTGATCACTTTTACAACCTTCTGACAAGCAAAGTCAATGGGGAAGCCAGAGTCACTTTACAACCATGTCACTAAACTTAACTGCAGTATTATCCATTTAACAACTATGGCAAGATAGGTCATAAGATGTGGCAAAACTCATTTAACAAACTGTCTCAGCAACAGAAATTTTGGGCTCAATTGTGCTCCTACCTCGAGGACTACCTATACACGTAAACACACACACACGTATATACACACATATATATCTATAGATGGATGGATGATAGATATGCAGACAGACAGAGTTAAAAAATAAAAAAAACCTCGAAGCCTACAGCAAAAACAACAGCGGGCGCGCCAGCGTCGTGAAAAGGATGCGCTTCCTTAGAGGACGCCGCCGAGCCCGTTCGCGACTGGCTTGCTTGCTTGCTGGCTTCCTCGGCTTCCAGACCAGCTCGGAGCTTGGCCGTATTTTCCTTTCCCCTGGCCCCGGAGGCTCTGCGGAAGTCACCGCCCGGGCGATACCGGCTCTTTGGCATGTCGCGAAAACAGACGAGAGGCGGACTTCGGCTGACAGAAGAGGAGGATCTAGTCGACGCCTAGCCGGTGCTCAATGATTTCCTGTTTTCAGGGATCCATTTGAAGCGGTCTTGGAAGGAAAAGCGCGAATTACAGAACCGTCGTAGCAATCCTAAGAGTCGGGAAGCCCGAGATATTTTCCTCAGCACAGTGGAGGTGCCAGCGTTCCCGCTTCTCGAGAAAAAGTATTCAATCCAATCCGATTCTAGAGTTAACTCCCAACTCAAGGGATTTATTCCAGGTAAATGTGGAAATAAAAGAAGGGCAAAGATCCCCTTGATTCCCCCCACCACTACCACTCCCGCCCGCAACTCTGTCCCGGCTCGCACCCGAAGCCCTCCGAGACGCTTTTAAAACCCGTTTTGCAACCCGTTCCCACCAGGCGACTGGCAACCCCCCCTGACCCACGCTCGCGATGTTGACTTTCAAAGCGATCGGGGTCTTAAATCCAAAGCCCGGGCCGGACTCATCTCTGAAGAGTTCGCCGGTCTTCCCTCCCCCTTTTTCATTCCAAGATCAAACCCCGGAGTCGGAGCCACTCTTCCAAGCTCTCCTTGCACACCGGATGTCCAGGGCGAATACTTCGGGTTGCTGACGCCATGGCTCCGACATTCCCACCTATTGCATATTGCATAGACCAGAGGCATCATTATCATCATCCCACGGAGCGCGCCCAGAAATAACGCTTCCCCACCGGCGACCCACCTAACCCGGCCTGCCGGAGCCTTTTGTTCGCCGCCTCTTCCCTCGCGATCGTTTTCCCCCGGCTACGGCCGGGAGAGGCTCACCTTGATCAAACGCGGGGCGCTGCCCGAGGCTACTTCTCCGAGGCGGCAGGCGCAGCTACGGCAGGTGGCGGCCCTCCCGGCCCCGCTCCGAGGGCGGCTTGGCGACTGCCCAGCTTCGCGCACCATCGCCCGTCTGCTGCCCCGGCGCCGCTTCTCCCCGGGCTTTCTGTGCGAGGCCCGCCTTCTCGGATTGCAAAGTGCAGGGCGACGCTCAGCCGGCCTCCCGGGGTTACTCCGGCTCCAAGGCGCTTCCAGGGAAGGCAGGACCCAGCAGCCGCCAGGTGCAACCAGCAGCCCCGCCCTCCTCCCCAGCGCCGCGCCCTTTCTCCGCCTTCCCGGTGCGGCTGCTCCTTCTGCTTCCCTTTTCTTTCCGTTTGCCGAAAGTCGCAACGAGAGGGGCTCTGCCGCTCCAACCTCGATCGCTTGATGGTGAACAACCGTGGCTGCTCACCGCAGGAACGAAGAAGAGCGGCCGAAAGCGTATGCAGCGTTTTGATCTGAAATATTAAAAGATCACCGTAAGGCCGCTAAGCACCTTGGCCTAACAAGAAATAAAGGTAGTCTTCGACTTACAACAGTTCATTTAGGGACCGTTCGAAGTTAAAAGGTGACTGACGACCATTTTTCGCACTTACGACATTGCAGCATCCTTACGGCCCTTGTGATTGTAGAAAGTTAGCACCCACCCTTCTCCTTAGAAGAATGAAATATTTTGAGAAATAGTAAAAAGGCAGAATATTATATTTCCCTGGATGAGAAATGGAGAAACATGCTCTTGGGAAGCAGCTCCCACCTTTCTTAATAGCCCTCAGCTGATGTCAGCACTTATGAAATAAAGAGAGAGATAGCTCTATTCATAAGCAAATACCCTCACCCAAGATCCAACAAAGGTAGGATTAGCCCTCAGCCACAATAGGAATTGCCCAAAGCCCCTTCATTGCATCACCCTCCAAACTTCAACCAAACCTAGCTCAGGCAACCTAAAGAGCCAGCTATGACCCCTACAACAGCCAATAGAATACATGTTCTTGCATCCTAACCCTAACCCCTCACTCTCAACTCCATGTGGTCAGCTACTCAGAACCCATGTGATTCTGCTTCATCATTAAACCACCTTTCCAATCAGCCTTTATGTCTTTCTCCCGGCTTGGAACTGCAATTATTTATTGCACTGGCCTGCCTGGTAGGAATTCTAGGCTATCAGGAGAGTCAAAAACATCTTGGAACAGGACAGTCTCTAACATACTGTCCTCAAGACAGATGTGTCCAGGTTTAACTGGGAATTGACAATGGACCATTTTTGTGCCATTTTTAAAAACTGTTTTTACTGCAATTGAATTATTTTTAAAGTGTGATGACTAAACTTGGATACAGTACTTGTAATGAAGTATCATAGTAGAGTGCAATTAATGCATTTTATTGGAATATTAGCATTAAGTTTTGCTATTAACAAGTAATATGTTAATTATATAGAATTAAATTATATAAATATGTTTATATAAATTATATGTGTATAAATATAATTAAATACTTAATCAGTAGTCCTATTTTGCCTTAATTTGCTAGTCCCTCATGTTAAGAAAAGGAGATGATCAGATTCTACATTCTATGAATTATCTCTGGTTTTATAAAAGCTCCAAATATTATTTGCAAATAGTTTTTAGAAATACTTGGTTTATATGACTACAGCTCTCTGAAATCCAACAGACAATTTTGTCGGGATTCTCTTATTACTACCGCCTTCCCGAGTTCTTCACAACATATATTTCCCTGTAAATATTCTTCATATAAAGTTGCAACATCTGGCCCATCAATATTTACAGAATCAAAGCAGTTGAAATATTAACCCATTCTTCATTTTTAAGTAGAATATGATTTGCTTAAACATACAATTAAAGTGAATGATGGAAAACAAGGGCAAAATGTTCAGGAGTAAATAACATATAAGAGACATACTTGATTCTAATAATATAAGCACATTCCTGTAGTGGCAATATGGAAGACCATTGGATTTCAGGGATTTAGGATTTTTCCATATAGAACATTCTAGAAGTTTAGCGTTCATACTTAACTATGCTTTTAATCTGTTTGTTTTTCACTCCTGCTGGAATGGAGGGGAAGCTTCACACAGTTGTTGATTGTTTAGGTTAGCACTGCCTTATTTGTGAAAGTTTTCAGACTGTCATCCAGATTTGTAAAAGTTAGGTCAGGTGCAGCTTGTGACCATGGAAACAGAGCTATGAAGTTTGGGACCAAATTTTAATAAACACCCCTAGAATTGCCCTTTTGGTTTTGAGCCTCTGCATAGGGTTGAACTCTCAGCACTGTGCATCCAGGGCTTGAAGTATCTTCACTGCTTCAAAGGGGACTCCTAAGCAGCTGGAGGAAGAGCATCTTGCTTTGGTATGTTATGCAATTTGTACTTGGCTAAATATACCTCTGTTTCAGAATGACTTCTGAAAACATCACAGGAGTAAGTCAAAACCCAAATACAGAAACGAAGGAGTTGCTTAAAAAAAACAACAACGGACTTCCTCTGAGGTGAGGCATAGCTTCTCTGAAGCTGCTCAAGAAAACCAGATTGTTTCCAAATTTAAATCCAGATTTCGAAGGAAGTGAATCTCATAAAGAAATCATTCTAAAATTGTTACTGTACCTGCTCCCACTCTCCCCAGAAAATAAAAATGTAAGGTAGAAAGGAAGAGAGAATAATGCAACTTCGTGACTGAAACCTGTGGTTTTTAATCTGAGACTTCTCCTTTTTGACTTCCAGGCAGTGCTTCGTGAAATATAGAAGAAATCTTCCAGCTGGGCAGAAAAAACATCTTCAAACTACTTTTCAGTAAACATAATTATTTAGGATCTGCTTCTATATTGCTTAAAAGAGATCAGCATGTAAAGAATTAGAAAAAGCCTATAGTGCAAATGTCCTTCCTGTCATTTTACTTAAATACAATTGCTTGCACAGGAACTCTGATTCAAGAGTTCTAAGAGAGTGCAGTCTATATTTTTATTTACTAAACAGATTTATATAGCCACTCAACTCACACACAATTACTCCAGGCAGCATACAAAGATACTCTCTCCAATCCTTGTGTGTTTGGAGAGCCGCACTGACATTAGATTTTAGTATATTTATTTGGTATGCACTTATATTTAAACGCAATGTAAGACCGTTATTTCTACATCTGAAAGGATCCTTTATACAATAGTCCCATACCAGGAGCTTTGTTACAACAGAAGTGTGAGAAACATGACTTGTGGCTTAGGTGCAATCACTCACTCACAAATTTGTCATCAAAGCACTGGAGAGAGAAGAACACGAGTTGAGAGAAAGGAAACAACACCAATTGGGGTTAATGAATTGGGAGTCAGGACTAAGCCAAACCAGCATTATTGAAGATAAACCAAGGAAGAGCACTCAAGAATTTATATATGTGATCCTTTAAAAGACATTATACCCAACTCTTGAACTGATAATACCGTAGTAATAAGCCCATTTGCTTAGCAGCAGCATAATCTACGAAAAGCATGTATTTGCTGTAATTTTATAGTCATGTTTTCCAAGGACTAATGCATGAAGTATAATCTTCAATAATTTCTTCACCTCTTACATCTCAGAGAAACTAAGCAATAAATGTCCTTCAAAAACATAAAAAAACAAAATAGAACTGGTTTCTTAAAGGAAAGGAAGTGGAGCCTGAAGTGGGATTGTGTCAGTCTGTTTTTTTTAAAGGTAGATATCAGTTGAGACAGCAATCTTCCTGGGAGAGTGTCAGGTTTCTAATTTCTTTTATCTATTTACTTTGATGTTGGCTATTATGATATGAAGCTGCAGGACTTAATGCTCAGCAGAACAGGATTATCTGTAAACATACACTTCTTTACCTAGGGCTTTTTATACAACATGACGCAAGACAACTTATATAAATTAGAAGTGCAATTAAGGTTTTTAGGTACTGCTTCTTTCCAAACTAACTGAGAGACTCCTAAAAAGCATTTAGAAAGTGTTACTATCATTCCATTTGCGAATCAGAGCAAGGAGAATTTACCAATGACATTTTTCTTGTGCTATAAAACCATCACTATAGGTCCAGGAAAAGGGGATTTTCAAGCTGCATTTCAAAATTCACAACCCAGGCTGACAGCCAATTCTTCCTCGTTGCTTCACCATGCCTAGCAAGTTTAGTCCTTTTATAAAATGGAAATATGATAGCTTGATCAAGGTGACCATAGAAAGATGGTGTAGGAAAGTATGATAAGAGTGGTGTAGTACTTAAGCTACTAGCCCAGAAACTGGAGACTCGAGTTCTAGTCCCGCTTTAGGTGTGAAGGTCAGCTAGGTGACTTTGTGCCTGTCACATACTCTCAGACCAACTCACCTCACAAGATGGTGGTTGTGGGGAAAATAGGAGGAAGAATGAGTATTATGTATGTTTGCTACCTTGAATTATTATAAAATAATAAAGGTGGGGTAAAAATCTAATATCAGTTTAGAGGCTGGTATAGGCTGGTAAAGCTGGAACCAGAAATATTGGCTTAGCCTTTTTAAAAAAATTAAAAACAGCTCTGTTTTAAAAACAAGACTTTTGACTAAGCCCGATAAATACACATATTTATCTTCTGAAATGTTCTAATCTAGGTAGATTTTAGGAGTCGGTATTATTTCTATAGCTAGTCTTGGTTTACGGCATGAACAAACATTTGGAAGAGTTAAGTGGTGTCAAAACAATGGCAAGTAACTTGCTTAAGAAACTGGCTTGATTTGAAAAACATATTAGGCTAAGGTATTGTCAGGAGGTATCTGGAACAGAGTATTGTATAATTTCAGGCCACAATGGAGGCATTTTGGAGAAGGTTAAGCCTATACTATATCTTGTACCTCCTCTTTCAAGGTTTGTCGTACTTGATTAAAAAGCTTCAGTTTTTGAATATAAGGGCTAAAAATCTGTGCAACTTTAAGAGAGGTTTGTAAACTGTTTCATAGCTCATTAGTAAAATTTGTAAGGGTTCTTTGCCAATTCTGGAAGTTTCATTGTTCTGTGTGAAAGAGATAGCATATGCTTAATACAGTAAGATTTAAAACATTACATACACATACTCACATAGTACTTAAAAAACCTGGGTAAATCCATTCTATTAATACTGAAACTCAATCTCAAAATTGATGACACATAACACATTTTCATAACCAAATGCTTATTGTTTTTTGGGCACTCTGAAGATCTCAGAACTATCATAATGACTTCTAACCAGTGAGATGAATATTAATAGTGGGACAAAGCAACATTATACAATTGATAACAGGAGTTACAGCAATATGCCTAATATTATTTCTTGCATATGATTATATGCCATTATTTCAATTTTCATTTAGTGCAGGGATGTCAAACTCGATTTCATTGAGGCCCTCATTGGGGTCGTGTTTGACCTGGGGGGTGTGTGACCAGGGTGGGCATGGCTAGCTCAATGTCACTCATGTCAGAGGCACCTGTGGTGGCCCGAGCACTCTGCCAGCAAAAACTGAGCTCTGTTTTTGCTGGCAGAGAGTTGCAGTAGGCCGGCGCAGCCAAAAACAGAGCTTGGGAGAGCTGCTCATGGCCCTCCTGAGCGCCATTTTTGCTGGCAAAGGCACCATGGGCCGGTCCTTCACAGTTTCCAGGGAGGTCCTGCGGGCCAGATCTAAGCACCCCACAGGCTGGATCCAGTCCCCGGCCTTGAGTTTGACACCCCTGATCTAGTGAATACTGTTTTTAAAACTCATGTGACCAAAATAAACTTATACCAATATTTCTGCTATAGAAGGCTGATAATGACAACTTTTACTATTCCAACTATTCATTAGCAGCTGGACCAGCAAAATTATGATGGAGTTGTAATCTAATACTTTTGAACTGCCCCAAATTGAAGAAAGCATATATAGTGAATTATTCATAGGCAGTGAACTCTCTAACTGCTCTGTTTCCTTTTAAAAATACAATAATTGTATTAAAGTTTATTCTATATTAATAAATTAAATTTAAATCTTCGTTAATTATAATTTTTAGTTCTTTTTGGTTTTCTCTTTAAAATCCCATCTTATAATTTCCCCCCTTAAATAACAACATTTACTTCACAAAGTTTTTCCGAAGTGGTTTGCCCTTGCTTGCTTCCCAAGGCTGAGGAAGAGTGACTAACTTAAGGTCACCCAGCTGCAGGGGTGGCTTCTATTTACCTTTACTACTGGTTAGCAACGGGATCACGTGTGCGCAAATCGCCGATAACATCCGGGATGGTGGGCAGGGCCTCCTGCCAGTTTTACTACCGGTTCTTGCGAACCGATCAAACCGGGGGCAACCCACCATTGCCCAGCTGGATTTGAGCCCAAATCAGGACTAGAACTCAGAATCACCCAGTTTCTAGCCTGATGCCTTAAGTACTATACCAAACTGGCTCTTGTACATTTTGGAATAAAGTGACCTCAGATTTTCTGTGGATGTACAAAAATGACCCTTTTTACTTGATTTTTTAAATGCACAACTTTAACTCATGTAAATTTACTCCTAAATATGGCAATTGGCTCCAAATTATAGATTTAATAGAGAAGAATACTGAACAATTCATAAGTGAGATCAGCACTTACATGTAGTACAATTCAATTTTATCATACTGGTATTTCCCATATAAAGTTTATACACTAGAGAACACTTTCCTTAGAGTACAGTTTAATGCATTTTTCAGATGCATTAAAACTTATTTTTCCCTAGTAACCTGTAGCATGTTCTAGAGTTATCTACAATTATTTCCCCTCTTTTTAACAAAAACAAAAACATAAATGAAGACAAACCTTGTATCTATAATGCCTTTGTGATTTTAAATTCCTAATGGGAAATGCATCAATATTGATCAACTTAACTCTTAAATTCTTGCAGCTTCCTTTATATAATAATTCTTTCTTTTTTCAATATTTTTTAAAGCAGTTTTTCCTACTTTAAAATACTCCTGTTATTTTCTCTCTGTCACCTTGGAGCCATCCTATTATCAGATTTTATCATTTAATTATCTTGCTTATACGTGTAATACTCCTACTGAGTTTTGTGGTTTTTCCCTCTGCAACTTTAGGCCTCTGGGTCTATAAAATCATCCTACTCATTGTCTATTCACAGGCTTTAAAGAAGACAGCATTAAAGAATCAACTCCTTTATACAGTTTGTGCTAGGAATTATGTCAATGCATTTACATAAACAATGCATATAATTTGCTAATCACTGAATATATGCAATTGCTGAAATTGGAAACACATACTTACGGAAACACTCATACAGTTTATTGCTCTTTCAAAGTTAACAAAGTTAATGTTAGGGTTCCAAGTAACACCCCCAACTAAATAAGATTCCGAGGCTAAGCATTCCTCAAAGTTCCATTTTATTAGAGATGTCATATTGGCACATCTGGGAAAGCCCAAATCTGAAGGCTTCCAGGTTTTCCCCACCCAAAGAAAGTCCAAGTCCCTGCCCCATTACCTGCATGTCCATCACATGGTCCAATCAATGCACCGTCCCAACTGGAGATACTTCCCAGTCACACCCCTCCAGGTGCAGGGAAGAATGGCCTTGACTCTTGGAGAAAGGAGTGTTATTTTGACTATATATCTTCCCAGCTCCATACAATTCCCCCTCCCAGTTTCCCACAGCACTAAATGTGGCAGGCTGGAAGATCCAATGCCCAAAATGGCTTCCAGGCCTGACAGTTAAGTTAGTGAACCATAAAGCAACTAAATAGGATGGGTATGACACAATTTGCTAAGACATCAAAAATTAACCAAGGTTCACAATAGTCAAGATAGCATGTGATGTGAATTCAGTTGCTAAGTCTTTGACTTTGTTAAGGATGTTTGTGAACATAGCCATTGTACTGATATTGTATGTCACCCTAACAACTGCTAAGGAATTGTTAAGACTTAATTTTATGGCTGCATTTAATTGGGTCAGAATTTATTGTATTAAACTCTCTGGGACTTGCTTTTGAATCAACCTACATAGGACTGTGTTCTCTTTTTAACTAGATGAAATATTGCTCACCTATATGAACTTTGCAAAGGTTTATCTAGGGCTCTTCTTTTTCATCTCTTATTACTGACTTAGGTAGCAATTTACATAAAGGTACTCCGGAAAATGCTTTGTTGAATAGAGTTACCAGATCTAATCTGCAAAAATCTGGATTACTATTAGATGGCAGCAGAGGGTCCTCTTTAGCTCTTTGCTAATATCCAGTGGCCGTCCAGATTCTTGCAGCTCAGAACTGACACCCAGAGATGGGTTTCAGCAGATTCTGACCAGTTCTGGAGAACTGGTAGCAGAAATTTTGAGTAGTTTGGAGAACCGGTAGTAAAAATTCTGACTGGCCCTGTCCCCACCTATTCTCTGCTTCCCAAGTCCCAGCTGATCTGGAGGAAATGGGGATTTTGCAGTAACCTTCCCCTGGATTGGGGAGGGAATGGGGATTTTACAGTATCCTTCCCCTGGAGTGGGGAGGGAATGGGGATTTTACAGTATCCTTCCCCTGCCATGCCCACCAAGCCACACCTACCAAGACATGCCATGCCCACCAAGCCATACCCACAGAACCGGTAGTAAAAAAATTTGAAATCCACCACTGAACATCCTATCATGGAATATTTCATTCTA